AACAAAAAATATGGGTAATCTCATGTAGTTTATTCACCAACAGTGGGGGATGGATGGGTATTTTTCCTTTTGACAAATTAAATTATCTTTTGGAAATTTATGATGAATTTACTTCTGTTATTTTATATTAAATGTGAATTTGTTGCAATAATCTGCATTTTCCATCCCAGCTTTCATGTGTCTCGGGATGTTCTCCCTCCCATCTTTCCCTTTGCTGTTTGTTTCAGGTGATCACATAATCATTTCCTCATTAAGTCGAGTTTTGCATGCTTGTGCTGGGACTCAACAGACAGAATAAGACAGACACACGCAGTTCCAGTTGCTGCGTTTTTCCAAACTTGATATGTTGTGAAGTTTTCACTCTGTCCACAGCTGCTGTAGACCACACTGCACATTTTGTCTTCCAGAGGGTACGCAGTCGATCACTGGAGGATGTGGTCATTCTGAATGTGGACACGAACACCCTGGAGACCCCGTTTGATGACCTGCACAACCTACCCAGCGACGTGGTGAGAAACACACAACCGTCTCCAGCATCTCAGCCTTTTATTGTGTCATTCCACATGCAGCACATCAAGGTTATTTTCCCTCTCTCCTTCCGACGTAATCTCGCTCTCACATCTCTGCCCACATGTGCGCGCACACCCACATCCAGAAACTTGTCAAAGTACAGCTCTGTCCCCTCCCCACATCATTAATGACTGCAGCTCTGGCTTCTCAGATTGTGGCTGTCTAAAGTAAACTCCCGTCGCGTCGTATGACGCTTGAAGGCAAACAGCATTCCCCGACCATCAGAGGCATGTGGGAAAATGTGAAACTCCCTTCCCTTCATCTTCATCCATTCTAATCATTATTTCACAAAGTCTTGCGTTGCTGCCTGCCCACTGGCACGTTTCTGAGAGATGGGGGGAGGGAACGAGGCAGAGGAAAGAAAAGAAAAGGCAGAGATGGGTGATTTTGTAGGGGGGGAGAGAGTGGGTAGAAAGGGTCCAATTACCAGTGTGGGCAGTGAAGCCACCTGCCAGCGCATCGTCTCTTTAATTAATGGAGCGCTGACGCTGGTCAGTGCTACAGGAAGCATCGCCGTGGCGTCAGGGTCACTCACACTTTTACACACACATCCACAGCCACGAGGAAACAACACATGCGCTCGCCTCCCCTGTCTTGGTGGAAGCAGGAATCTGTTTGTTTAGTTGGTCTTCACAGTGTGTGTATTAAAGCTCCTCTGTGAGGCGCTGGGATCCCAGCTGAGGCGGTGGATGCACTATTACCCACGCTGCTAACAGCATACGCTCAGGTTCCACTGCCTACTGGACTCCTTCCCCCAGCAGCACTACATAATTCAACCCACTGCCCATCAGACCCCAGACCTGCTCACACTCCCACACTTCTCTGGTTCTCCTGATTTAGCACTGCTCTGCCAACATTGACTGCTAGCGCGTACGAACGTCTCTTTACCTCGTGAGTTCTTTTCTCCACTTTATAACATTTTCTGCCGACTTTCAATCCTGCCTGCCTGCCTGCCTTATTGCTTCCCCGGCTGCTCGGGTTTCATGGCACCTGTCTGCCTACGTGTCTCTCTCGCAGTACTTCCCGCCAACCTGGACGTCTCTTGCACCCGCTGTTTGCTTTCTCATACTTCTCTGCCTGTGTGCCTGTCTGGCTGCAGTACCGTCTTCTCACTTCCTGCCTGCTCGCTTCTCTGCACCTGGGGACTGAAGCCCTAAATTAAATTGCAAACTGAGTTTGTCATAAAAAGAGTGGAGGCTTTTGAAAAGCGACAGAAGCAGAGAGAAAAGCCTTTGTCTTTTTTGCCGTGTGATAAATTAAGTGGCAGGCTCAGTGCCTTTTTCGCTTTGATCCCCTGCTCACCAATTTTTCTTGACTAATGACAGAACATAGCTCGCATATCATGTCAAATTACAGCACCTGAAACAGAAACTTTGCTGGCATTAATATATTTATCGGAACAAATTGTTGTTGTTTTTTTTATTCCCATACAAGTTTTTTTTTTTCTCCCTCCTGTCTCCTCTTATCTATTCACAGAGGCTAGTAGATTAATAACAAAGCGAGCAGGTACTAATTGAGTGGAATTCCAGGTCTCTTGTTAGTTAGCTCGTTAGTGATGAGGACATGCCACATGGCATTTGATGTTAGTGTTTCCACACAAGGAGATGTTACAGGCATTGTGCTGTTTACTGAACTGGGGCCTGATTTCCTGATTAATGCCTAGCGCTTCTCTGTCTCCGCGTCGTTTCTTAGCTATTAAAAACCGCTTTTTATTTCTCTCCAGTTCTCACTGTAACAGCGGCTACTTAACACTCCAGTTTATTCAGAGTGAGGCCCGGGCCCTGAGACCTAGGGAGTCGCAGCGATCCTCACTCGCAAACCCCCGGCGTCACTTTCTAAGAATATATGCAGCACGACATGAATTAAAAGGTAAAGGCTACAGGCAAAACGTGTCTGTGCTTTAGGTCCAACTGTGATGGAAAACAAAGCGCCTCTGATGTTGATTTAAACAAAGCTTTAGAGATCCGTGTAATTACGGCAGCGCAGCCTGTGAGCGCATGTGGACTTGGTTAGGCGGCCCGGCTGACCAGTGGCCGTGCTTTTAGCAGGTTCAGAGTTCACAGTTGTCCTGAATTAGCCGCTCCCTTTCAGACGGGACCCTTACCCCAGCTCCACAAGTGCCCGCCCCATAACGGCCTTTTCTCACAGTTTCACACATAATATTTCACATTTATTGACTATTACAAATACTAGTAAGCTGGTAGCGGTTCCGTTTTGCAAAGGAAAGGCTAAATCTATTGAGAGAGTAATTATTAAGGGGTGCCAAAGGAAGCCGTGATCTTCTGAAATGAACTTTGAGAATTAAATTACTGATTTTTCATCTTATTATTATTATAGTCATTCATTTAAAAAGAACATATCCAAAAGGAGCAGGAGGAAGCTAAACTATTGTTACTTCCAACCCGTTCTCTTGACTTCCTTTTTTTATTCCCTGTTTGCTTCACACATTTTATTTTAATCAAATTTATACATGTGCATACCATACATCACTTAATTTCTACCGACATATAAATCCACACACATGAACAAAACTATAAACAGTAATGAAGCTCAAAATTTTTCATACCCCTGACACGTTTAAAGTAAGACTTTAATTTTATCAACATGTTTCTTCTGGGTTCTGAATCTGAGAATGTGTGGAGTGATGTAATAATTAGGGTGATGGCAAAGAGGTCTTCCCACCTCACACACTTGGGGCTAATCACCACAAAGGAATCGTCAAAATATTTGTGGAAACCTGGTCAGCAATTATGTGTAAGAGTTTCGTAGCTGTGATCCCACAGCTACAGAGATTTAACCATTGGTTATTGAAAAGGGTATAAACAATTTTCAACATGCCATTTTTTTTAGCATAAATGAAGCAATACAATGTCCTAATATGGATAGAAATACAAACTTGTGTGTGTATGAACATATATACTTAGGCACTTGTGGAAGCCACACTTTAAAACAGTTTCATTTAGGGTCTGCAGTTCATCCATTCTGCATTTCAACTCCACATCTAGATTAATAGAAGCATTTTTACATTATATCCTCCATATCCGAGAGAAAACAATTTTGTACATTAGCAGTGACCATTATTTTATACGTGGTTCCTGCTGTTAAAAAGTGAAACTGAGAAGTGAGTTTGAATATTTTCTATTTTAATAATAATTATTATTTTATGTCTATAAACAGTTTTTGGGATGTACTTTTTTTCTGCAACTTGTTAATGAACATAGTTGTTTTATAAGTACTGCTTCTTAATGCAAATACAGTTAAACAGTTTGTTTGAAGTGATTTGTCGTACTGAATGTGCTTTATTTTATTTACTAAAATATGCTTCTTGATCTTAATAAATGAATAACATAAACTGTGTTTTACTTAATTATAGCCGAAGCACCTTTTTATTTTGTACGTTTCCGAGTAAGTTCCACACACAGCAGCTCTTTCTTTTAAACCAGATCAAAAAATACTTTGATCTGCAAGCGTTAAAATATTTGTTACTGTTGGAACTCAACAATTTATTATTTTTTTTCATTTAAATAAAAAAATCTTGGACACGAAGCCCTGAGGAACACCAAATGAACTTTAAACATTGGGTCTCTTTAATAGGAAATGTTGTCAAATGAATCAAAGATCCTGCATTTTACTGTTTTTGCGCTATAGTTATTTAACATGTAGTGCCAGGCTTTGAGTTAAAAAGTAAAATAACAATGTGCATATCTGATAACAGTTAAAGGTCAGCCATGCAGATTCTCTAATGTTCTCTTTATTGTAAGAGCAGCAGTGCTGGGGTAGTCTTTGTTCTCTTGTTTGAATCACTGTTTTTTGTTTTTGTTTTTTTTTCACAATTATTTAAATAAATTGTTGGGAGAAAATAGAGCATTCTTTAAATTTTGCATAATGTGTTTTAGCAGTCCTTTGCATTCCTGAAAACTCGTAAAGTTCAACCAAAAGTTGCAGTAGTTTGCTACTTTTTTTAATCTTTGTGACACCATGCTTTGTCAGTAAAATCAGTGTGTTGACAAGCACGCTGAGAAGAAATACTCAATAAAACAAAAAAGATCAAGGTATTTTTGTTGCTTTTTGTAAGATCCACATCTCTCCCAACTGGAGACTGATAAAGTTATAATTGACTTTTGGTTGGTGAAGTTGTTTACCTCGCTAGTCATTAAAACTATCCAAGAATAGCAAATTAGGAGTCAGTTAATTCTGAAAACAAACAGCGTGTGACTGAATAAGGTTTTTATTTGATTCTGGCAATTGATCTCAAACCAATGACAGATTTTTTTCATGTATTATTCTTTCTGTGCCACACATTCAAGTTGAGGAGCTACAATGCAGCTTATATCTTTATTTTCAGATGCTCCCTCTCTCTCCCTCTTTCTCACACATCACAAACCTAATTCCTTCTATTCTCCTCCTCTCTGCCGCTCGCTGCTTTGCTGACACCGTGTACCCATACAATCCTAGCCCTCGTACATTTGATCATTTGTATTCCCAATCAAGGGAGGTGGGGAGAGAGGGGGGGGGGAGATTTACAGCACACACTCCTACTTCCTGTATTTCAAGCCCGCATTTGGAGGTTTACAAATGAGTGAGGGGGTTGAGGCTGTGTCTACCGCGCCTCTCCTGAGATCACCTGGCACACTTAATCAAACATCGCGGCTTTAATTTGGGCGCTGACTTTCTGGGGAGCAACATCTACATCATCAGCCACTACAGAGCGCTGCAGACGGCAGGCAGCGCTCGCATGTAGGTGCACAGATGCACTCAGGCACACCTACACGCTGTCAACCGGGAACGTTCATCAGCAACTCTCGGGTGTCGCTCAGGAGGAAACTTTTGCCACCATTTGTTTGTCCATCTGATCTTCTCTGCGCTTCTTTCTGTTTAAAACAAACCAAATGCATCTGATCCATTTAAAGTAAAGTTTCTCGTGATTCGTTGTGGGAAA